CGCGTGTGCATGTGTGTGCGCGTGCGCGTGTGCTTGCGTGCGTGCGTGCGTGGGTGCGCGCATACGTGCACGCACGCGCATTTGTGCGCGGATAGGGATTTTTATGCCAGGGTGATGTCCGATTTGCGGAGCATTGCGCGTGTTGTATATGCAAAGGGGGCCTTGCACTCTTTTGATGTTGGGGAAGGGGCGCCTGCCCTCGTGTCCCGCAGAAAGGAGGAGGCGAGGGATGAGGGTGAGGCTTGGGACGTCCGATGTGGGGGAGGCGCACACGGCCGTTTGGGGGATAACGCGGGGGCCAGGCTCCGCGCAGGGCCTGCACGGGCCTGCTCTGGGGGGCAGGGCTCGCCCCCGACCCTGGCAGCGCGTCCTTTGTTGCACAGGGGCGGGGCGAGCCCTCCCATCCCACTCACCTTCGCGGCCCGCCTCTTGGGGCCAAGGGGGTGTGCACCTAGTATGCGTGCGTGCGTTTTTGCGCGGGTGGATGGGGGGGGGGATATCCAGGACTGTTGGTGGGGGGGTTATCCAGGAGTGTTGATGTTTGTGTGTGGGGGGGGGGTATTCAGGAGTGTTTTGAAAGCTGCATCGAGGAGCATCGCAGGTGTTTTCTGCAAAGATCGGCCCCATGCTCATCATGTTTCAGGCGAAGCCCGCACGTCGTGCCGGAATGAGGGGGTGGGGTGAGGGTTGTGGGGCCTTGGACTGTCGGGGCCGGTGCATGTGGTCACTTGGGGGCGAAGGCAGGGGCTGTGCTTTTTGCAGGGGCTGCGGGGGCTGCTTGGAGGGAGGCTCTCCTCCGACCCTGAAATCCTTGCCTTGCGATGATCAGGGGCGGGCCGGGCCTCCCCATCGTGTTGACCCCCCCCCTCACACTACCACCCCCACCATCCCGCGCCCCTGGGCCAAGGGGTCGCGCACCTGGGGTGCGGTCTCGGCAGAGGCAAAACGGGCGGGAGGCCGCGTTTCGACGCCATCAACCGCCGCCTTGGTTTTCCGTTTGAATCCTGGATCGCCTCCCGTGACTCACGTCCCCCAATACGTTCCCCGCCCCCGCCACCAGCCGCCGCCTCCGGCCGCGCCGCTCTCGGCCTTGTCTGCAGCGCATGCGCCGCTCTCGCGCGGCCAAAGGCGCCGGCCGCCGGCGCCGCCGTCGGCGCCGGCGCGGCGGGCGGCGCCGGCGGGGCGGCCGTCGGAGTAGGGGGTGTGGCTGACAACATCCGAGCCTCCGGCTTTGTCGGGGCGCTGCTTGAAAACGTGGGGGCAATGGCGCCGGTGCTGGACGCCGCGAGAGGCGAGTGCTGCTTGGGATGCTGCACGTTTGAGCCCTTGATTTTGGGGTCGTTTGAGGGAAGGGCCGAGTGCTTCTGGGGGTGCTGCTTGCTTGGACACTTTTTGTGAGGTGCTTTGCATGATGTTTTTATGGGAGGCACTTTGCATGGTCTTCAAAAGAGGTGCCTATTGGGGTTTGCGCCGTCGCATGGTGTGGGGGCAAGGGGGAGTGCGTTTTTGCGCTCGACGGGGGCCGAGGCCGGCCGGCGCAGGCGCCCCGCGGCCATGCGGCCGTTGAACAAGCAGCCGCACGTTCAACGGCCGCATGCGTGAGTGCGGCGGAGGGGGCCGGCTCGTAACAGTGCATTGCGACCGGTCTCGCCTCTCTGGGGTGACGCAGCCTACTTGTCCCGCCCACCCCCCTCCATGATGTCACACTTCTGCATGCAGCCATGAACAACCCTCTCGACTGTTTTTTTTCGCTCTCTCTCCATCCCAACGGCTGCCAACTACCCGGCACCCCCCCCACC